ATATTTGTATTTAATCTTGTGGAAGTGCAGATCCCCTGTCCTCCACCAGGGGGTGCTGCAGCACCCTCAGCATCCCTACTTCCCACGGCCCTGCGTGGCTGTGGTCCTGGATCATAAGTCCTGGATGGTTATCCTCGTGGATTCATCTTCCTATTATACACACATGCATTTCCAAACATTTGGACTACCTATGTTGCAAATGTATTATCTTTTCAATTTACACACGGCATCTATTGCACGTCTGTCCGTCCTGGGAGAGGGATCCCTCCTCTGTTGCTCTCCCTGAGGTTTCTCCCATTTTTCCCTTTAAACTGTGGGTTTTCTCTGGAAGTGTTTCCTTGTACGATGTGAGGGTCTAAGGACAGAGGGTGTCGTATTGTCATACTGATATTCTGTACAAACTGTGAAGTCCACTGAGACAAATGTAACATTTGTGATATTGGGCTATATAAATAAACATTGATTGATTGATTGTGAGAATGGATCTGCGGAGAGCATTTTGCCGCGATCCCAACTCTTCTATTACCAATGTTCAGGGAGCTCTATGCAAGTCAACACCCTGTCCGTTGAAAACTGACTTCCAGGGGTAGTACCCCGTACGTAATAGAGTGACGGGGAGGGGCCCTGACCGTCCGTCAATATGTGACGGGTTGGGAGTGAGAACGTGTTGCTATTTGACCTATCCACCCTGCCCCCACTGGACCGGGACTTTAACGCCCCCCCACACACACGACAAAAATCCAGCACCAGTCACTTTTTACGCTGCTATGGAAAATATGTTGCACTCTCATTTGCACATCATCTTTTTTTATATATATCCGGCTTACTTTTAAAGTAAACGGTTATTTTGTGTTTTTTTGTAATTATTGAGTGTTCTTGTATTTTAATGTGTATGTATAGTTATGTAAATAATTTGGGGTATAGGTATGTATATACATATTTTATATATTGTATATCCTTTATTTCATTTTATACCTCCAGACTGTGGGAAACAATATTTCGATCTTTGACTTTTTTACTTTGACTTGAAAACTCATTGAAAGACATCAAAGTAGTTGCTGAACTTCAGTTTGACTATGGTGTCAAAAGACTTGAAACACTTTTATAGAATAAAACACTTTAATAATGTACAATCACAACACAGTTGATTCATTCTGTTAAAAAACAAAGTCCTCCTGTCCGTCAGTAATGCCTCTCAGACAAATGTTGACTGGAAATTAGCAACTTTAATATTGTATAAATTCATAAATGGTCCTTGTGCAAAATATATTGCCGGAGCAAACATTCAAATACAGCTCAGAAAATAAAATATAAACAAAAGTGAATTGTTCAATATAGATGTTTCTTTGCCTTGCCCTACAGTATACAGTTTATGACTTTCCAACTATGAAGCCAATTTATTCCTCAAAAACACAATGACTGCTTCTAAAACTAATCATTAAAAATAAAAATCAACATGGTACGGTCAATCATTTTAAAAACACGAACAATGTGTCCTAGTGTTCAATTTTGTGTTTTGTTCTATGTGTTAAGCTCAAACAAAACAAATTGGTGACTGCACACAGAGAGGTACAACATGCCAAATTGGCCTTTTTACTCTTTGGCTTTTGTCCAGATAAAACAAACAGAGAACACAATGATCTGACCTTGGGAAGTGTTGGTCGGCCAATTTTGTAACGTTTAGTCAGAGCCAGGCTCCATGTTACTGTTTCCAGTCGTTTTTCTAAGCTAATGTACCATTTATATTTAAGGGACAGATATGATCCCTCTTTGCATCCTAGATAACACATACAAGAACCAAACATGCACTCAAACACCTCTGAACACAGATTGAACATGCGCATAAAAACATTTGGATGAAAACACAGTTATAGTTTAATCTTGTACTAATGTACATTCCCAAATATATTGAAGTGACTGTTATTTTGATTATTGTAGCATGCGGTAAGCAGAGCAAAGTCATATCACTTTTAACAGAGGTCAAAATTATGTATTGAAGTTACATTTACTTTTTTAAATATGAAAATGAATTTATATTCCAAGTCTTCTTCTTCTTTTTCTTCATATTAGTATTATTAATTATGCAGCAGTACATTCTAGTCTCTCACTCTCCCTTTAACCCACTATTAGATGCCATTTTTACTTACGTTAGAATACCTACAGACGGAGCCCACAGTTACTAACAGTGATAGCAAGCCATCCAACTTTATCACAGTCTGTAGAGTAATACTGACCCTAACATTAGTTTATGGCATACGAGAAACACGATAATACTGTCCTAAAAGTAAAAACGTGGCTGCAGGTGAGTGTGTGCATGAACAGCAGTGTTTAAAGGTCAGGGTCATCTCCCCTGAGGGTGTTGAACTCTTCAGGGGCAGAGTACTTGCCAGCGCCCAGACCTGCAGACTTCCGGAAGCCTGCTGTGATTTCATCGAAGCTGCGGCCCTTAGTCTCAGGAACCTTAAAGTAGGTGAAGGTGAAGAAGCCGAGCAGCAGGATGGTGAAGATGATAAAGACGTAGGGGCCACAGAGTTGCTGCGGGACAGCCAAGGCAAACATCATTTCATTTGAATTATGGGCCCCACATATAGTATGTACAGTATATGCAGCGCAGCAGCGAATGGACTTTCTGGAATGTTCAATATACTCTTGAATCAAAGCTTTTCTTACCTCAACATACGGGAAGCTTATCCCCACCAAGAAGTTGGCAGACCAATTAGAGAAACCAGCGACTGCAATAGCAGCTGGCCGGGCCCCCTGGCTGAAGAGCTCAGCCACGATGAACCAGGGGATGGGGCCGGGGCCAATTTCAAAAAAGGCTACAAAACTGAAGATGGCCCCAATGCTGACATAGGACATCCATTTGAGCTGGTCCTGAAAACATAGGACTTTCCGTCACCTTCTTTAAAAATCTCTATGGATTCAGTAAAGATGATCTGAAACACTTACCAACAACGCCATGGCAACCGTCAGAAAAACAGCTGAAACTGCCATTCCCATCAAACCTGTGAGGTGAAGCGGTCTCCTGCCCACACGCTCCACCACAAACAGCTGATGAGAAGAGAACGTATCTTATCAGAATGAAATGTCTGAGGCTTGCTGTGTATGTGTTCAGCTGAGACTTACAGACACCAGGGTGAAGGCGGTGTTCACCACTCCTGCACCAATAGTTGCATAGACCGGCAGGGGCACACCCGCTCGCTCGAATATCCCAGTGGAGTAGTAAAACACCTGAACACCATGACATAACACAGGAATCAGTTTTTTACATTTTAACATTGTGTGTGTTAGTGTGTGTATACATTCAGGCCTGAGGATATTTATTCTTTGTAACACCTCCTGCTCTGGGCCCACCCAAATGTTGGAAATTATTACATAACCTCCACAGGTGGACAATTCTGCATCGATGCAGTGACAGAATGTAATATATTTTAGTATAGTATCGTTGCTTCTGGGCACATAATGGATTTTATTAACTCGATGTGAAGCAGGAACTGGACAAGACATGCTGTGTGTAAAGTCTGTTACACAGAAATCAAATCGGTCGGTGACGCTTGACTTTTAAGAAACATATTAAGAAAGTATCTAATACCATTAAAATCAACTTGCAAAATGTTAAACAAATCAGACCCTTCTTAACTATCAATGCTGCAAAGTCATACCTCCACTGTATGATTCTATCCCACATTGAATACTGTTTGACAAACTGGTCGTTTGCTTGTGCCACAAACCTGAAACCAATAGAACAGCTGTACAAGAGAGCTATCAAGGTGTTTGACAGAAAGCCACATTCATACCACCACTGTACCATCCTTGAAAAACACAATTTCTTGAGCTTTGACAATTTTAAGTCTTTTAAAAGTATGTGTTTTTTGTATAGATGTTTACATGGAATGGCCCCCCCTCCCTTCGGGGAATTCATCCACAAAAAACACACTGGACGCTGCACTAGGTCAGAAACCAGAGGAGACTGTAAAGTCCACCATAGACGGACAACTTTTGGACAAAATGTCCTCTCCATTAAAGGCAGCTCATTCTGGAATAGCCTCCCAACTGAGATATGGGATTGTCCCACTCTCAATAGCTTCAAAGGTCAACTCAAAGAATGGTTGAGAAACAACCAGACGTGTAATGACTGCTAAATGCACTTTTATACAGGGGTATCTCCTGTTGCACTTTATGTAACACTTTTATCTTATCTTGCACTGTATATATCATAGCTGCTACATTGTACTGCCATGTGTTAATGCTGTACTGCTCATGCTCTTCCTGCATATCACGTATTTATTTTTGCTATGTATATAAATGTCATGTTCTTATACAATTGCAAGAAAATGTGAACCCTTTGGAATTACCTGGATTTCTGCATAAGTTGGTCATAAAATGGAGGAAGCCTGCTGTCCAGAAAAAACATTGCTGCACGTTTGAAGTTTGCAAAAGAGCACCTGGATGTTCCACAGTACTACTGGCAAAATATTCTGTGGACAGATGAAACCAAAGTTGAGTTGTTTGGAAGGAACACACAACGCTATGTGTGGAGAAAAAAAGGCACAGCACACCAACATCAAAACCTCATCCCAACTGTGAAGTATGGTGGAGGGAGCATCATGGTTTGGGGCTGCTTTGCTGCCTCAGGGCCCGGACAGAT